CCAGTGGCAATTCTTTTTGCAATACTTCTTCGAGCTACACTGCATTTTGGGGCCCCATCGCAGCTGCCATCCCCTCGTCCTGCATCAGACTTAATTAAGTTTTGTCCTGTCTGCTCTGTGGCATTGTTTACAGGCCAACCAAGTGCCCAAGCTGCGAAAAAACACAAAAATAGAAAAATAAATAAAAGCTGAAAAGTTGAAAATGTGCAACAAAGTGTGGGGGAAATGGTTGTACGCCGAATAGTAAAGGCTCTAAGAAGCTTAAAGGTGTTTATGAATATTTAAATACTGCTTTATGAGGAATTTTATATTTTAAAATGCCTGGAAAAATATATATATTAAATCACATACGATAAGTGTCTCAGATGTGCATCAAATATAAATAATTTTCTCCTTACGTATAGTCACAACTTATGTATATTACTTTGGAAAATTTTCATTTAATAACAATAACACTTTGGAAATATAAAAACAAAATTGAAGCATACTGTGTTTTAGATTACAATTAAATATTTTAAAAACATGAAACCTGATGAATTGCTTATATGCTTTGATAGTTTTAAACATTTTTGTGTAGAATATATCTTCTATTCTTTAAAAAACTTAAATTCCTTCGTATGTATGTTTCTGATAATATAATTTCTAAAACAGAATAATACGAGAGAGTTTTATGATTGCCAACCCATAAAAAAATGCCTTGAAATTCCCATTTAAAACTCAGTGCAACAAAAGCTAGATGAATGGCCTGAATGGCAGACCGAACTCGGTTAAATAATTATTGTCTACTTTCGCTTTAAGCACCTTCTAATTGCCTTTGTTAATTTGCGAGCATATTTCACTGGGAAACAGCTTTAAATTGCACAGAGTGAGTAAGACTCTGTGGCAGGAGGAAACCGAACCCGAAACCAAAACCTAAACCAAAGCCGACAATGAAGCGTGAAAAGCGGAAACGGAAATTAAGCGACTGCAGAGAGACTCCAGGCTCCAGAGCTCCAGATCCTGTGGCAGGACATCGCCGTCGCCATTGTCGCGTCACTTGCCACGCGATGGCCATTGTCCAGTGTCCAGTGTCCCTGTCCCAGTCCCTCTCCACTGGCCATTGTGCACTTGTTTTTTCCGCGGACCAGACAACGGCTGCGTGGAAAAGGCTCAAAGGGCGGATGGAGGCGGTTTTCCCGGGCTCCACTGTACGGTCCGCCCTGCGTTTGACTGCTGCAAATTGGACGAGGTGGCACACTTTGTTTGCTCTCCTATTGGTTGATCTTTTTGGCCTCAGCCACTTGAGTGAGTTAAAGATGGGGTTGCAGGCTTTAAGACAGCTTCAACTAGTAAAAATTATTTAAATGGGCGCAAATATATAAGAACGACCTAAATACATTTATATAGTAGGAAAATTAATATAGGGTTTAATTTGCAGTTCTTTAAATAATGTAATTTATTCAACAATTTTGTAATTGAAATATGTTATTTGATATTACACAAAGCCAAACACAAAACACTTTCATTGTATTTTACTTTGAGGTCCTTTACTATTGTTTTAACTCTTATATGAATATTATTTTGAGTTCTAACATAACTTTATCTTATTTTCTAGAATTAGGTACTGTACCTAATGGATCTAGATGAGAATATCAGTTACCTCGCAATTTTTATGATCGCACAGCTGCCGTCTTGAAAATTGTCACACCTTGAAGACCCATAAATAGATTAGAGATTAGGTAAAGGAAAATCCCATATGCAGATGTTATTCCACCGAGAGAAATACCTGTAACAGGTAAGAGCGCCGACTACCTGTTACCCTCTAGCATAATTTTGTATATAAGCTTCTTTTACAAAGAGGGTGGTATCAGTCAGCAACTGAATATTGTCCTAGACACATCTCAGTATTTCTGAAACCATTGCGAAGAACAATCTAATATCATTCCTTGATATCGAAAAAGTCAGTCAAAGATCTGTATCAACAATTAATCCACCTTAAGTTTCAAAAATCGAAACCAATTTATCGTAACCATGTTCGACGACGAGCCGATTTCCAACTTTGTGTTCACCAACGACGAGACGACGCAGACCTTCCACCACCAGTGGTTTGCCCAGGGCCAGTTGCACGAGTGTCCCACCTGCTACAGCTCCATCGACGCAGATGAGCCGCCCTCCCAGCATTGGCTGCGCGGAGGAGAAGGCTCCCAGGGACTGCAGCTCACCAAGCAGCAACAGGCCGTCCTGGACATAATTGAGGCCCGCCAGATCGAGACCTTCTTCTTCTGCGACGAGAGCTCCAAGGACAAACTGGACCACTTCATGGGGGAGACCTGTGCCCGGGGAATCCCCGAGCTGCTCCGCTGGATGTTCCAGAACAACACCGTGGCCGTGGAGTTCAACCTGGCCTGCTACGTGAACGCCATGGACCAGGTGCTAATCTTCCAGAGCGGGTCCCTGAAGGTGGACCATTACTACGACGTGGACGAGTGCGTGGGAGTGGTCTACGAGATGCTGATGCAGAGGATCGAGAACTACCTGAACTGCAGCAGTGAGTTCGGCATGGCGGAGTGCAGCATCACCAGGCTGAAGGTCCAGGTCAAAAGGATTCGGGTGGATGCGGAGAGTCAGTCTGCGGAGTCCCCCTTCTTTGCCCTGCCCCTGCAGCTTAAGCAGGAGGAGGGTCTGACCACCACTTCCAGTCCATCCACCAGCGAATCTGAGTTGGCCAGCCTGCGATCCGCTTACCTCAAGCACTTCCGCGAATGCAACGGCTACTTCCCGCCAAACATGCGGGTCAATCTCTACGGCGTGCAGCAGTGCAAGACCACCAAGGAGCTGTACGTGGTGCCCTACCACGTCAGCGAAACCCTGCAGCAGCTGCCCAACAAGAACTTCCTGATCCTGAACAACATCATGGGGCAGTTCCAGCGGCTCCACGAGCTCTCCACCCCCGTCAAGTCGATCGAAAGGGACCCCACCAGCTCGCCCCCGAAGGACCTCCACTGCCGAAGGTGCCGCGCACAGTTCTCGAGGAGCAGCAAACTGCACATCCACCAGAAGCTGCGCTGCGGCCAGGACTTCTCCGTGGACAGCATGCACGCGGACATCGTCGAGATCTACGAGCAGTGCCTGCCCATCTCGAGGAGCGTCTTCCAGCACGCCTGCTACGGCATCACCAAGCCCAAGACCGTGATGCGGAAGGGTCAGTTCGTGCCCATCGAGTGCGACTGGCGCAGCGAGAGCTCCGTGAAGGTGCAGCACGGCCCGTGTGTGGTCATTAGCAACGCCCAGCACAGCAGTCCCTGTAAATTTTATTAAATAAACAATATCTTTAAGCACAAACATTTCTTCTTTTTCAACTATGGAGGGAAACATTTCCAATGGCTAGCCATAATTAGCTCAACACACAAAAACCTTTTCTTGGTCAAGTAAAAAAAAAAAATAAATAGTATTTAAAATATTTATATATGTTTCTTATTTTGCTTGTATTGTGTTCTTAAAATTTGTCGCTTACAACTCCCAACTGGTCAAGAGCTATGTGGGTACCTAGGGATATGTAGAGATTCATTATTTTTTTTGATTATTTGAAATCTTAATGAGATTCCTAGTATTCGCTGTACATTTCTTTCATTTCAACTACTCAAACAAACGCTTCGGTCATATTGACCAATATACGATACCAGTTAAATGGGAGTTGGTAATTATACCCGTTACTCGTAGAACGTAAGGGTATACTAGATTCGTTGGAAAGTAAATAACAGGCAGCGTCTCCAAACCCATATATTCTTGATCAGCATCACTAGCCGATTCGATCTAGCCATGCCCGTCTGTCTATCCGTCCGTATGAACGCTGAGATATCGTAAACTTTAAAAGCTAGAAAGTTGGGCTTTGGCAGCTTCGAGGTTGTGCAGCGCGAGTTTATTTCAGCAGGGTGCAACGCCCACAAACGCTCATAACGCTGAAACCTGTCTAGCGGCCACATTTTTTTAAAAGCTGTGACAATGTAAATGGGATTTGGTACTGATTACACAGGAACAGAAAATTAACTTTGGAAAATTTTCACGAACCATTTCTAGATTTTCATGATATTTGGGTGCTCCTCACCAAAGTCCCATGTTAAGTTTTTTCCACCCCCTACAGGTTTTGCGGTATAGCTAGAAATAAAAAAAACTTATGTTTGCCCACATACAATATTATGTGGACAGAATAAGTCGACTTGTCGTAAATATTTTTACTGAAGCACACTCTTAATACATAACGGCAACGTCTTGGGAACTTAAGTTAAATTTTATGTTAAAACTTCTCTCATGGAAAACCCCCCTAAAAATATTTTTTAAATGGAAGTAATGCTTGTTTTTCTCGGAATCTATTACTTCTATACATATATGTTGTCAAATTTTAAATAAGTCATGGCAACCAATCAAATGTGCGTAAACGTGTATGTTTTAATACAAAAAATAATTTAATATTCTTTTAAATTGTTTTCGGAATGAAAAATGAAAATCTTAACAAAATAACATAAACGCAAACATACCAAAATTAATTTGGATGTTTTATACTCGTTTTTTGGGGACATTATGCTGAATTGTAAATGTTATATTTCTTAGAGGATTTTCTTTATTTAACACTATAATTTTTGAAAATAATAAAAATTCTTTAAACTAGCAACGACTATGAATTATGTTGTTATAAGAGTAACTACTTTATTGGTAAAATTATCAATTCCAAGAGTTTATCCCATTTAACTGGTATATTGGTCAATTTGACGGAAGGGTTTGTTTGAGTAGGTGCAATGACTATTAAGATCTTTTATAACCAAAAAATTAGGAAACCCTACCTATCTCTAGGTACGCACGGAGCGCTAGACCAGATGGAAATTGTAATCCACACATTTTAGGAATATAAAACAAGCAAAATAAGAAACATATATAAATATTTTAAACACTAAAATATTATTTATTTATTTTTTACTTGACCAAGAAAATCTTTTTGTGTGCAGAGCTAATTATAGTTAGCCATTGGAAATGTTTCCCTCTATAGTTGAAAGAGAAGAAATGTTTGTGCTTAACGATATTGTTTATTTAATAAAATTTACAGGGGCTGCTGTGCTGGGCGTTGCTAATGACCACACACGGGCCGTGCTGCACCTTCACGGAGCTCTCGCTGCGCCAGTCGCACTCGATGGGCACGAACTGACCCTTCCGCATCACGGTCTTGGGCTTGGTGATGCCGTAGCAGGCGTGCTGGAAGACGCTCCTCGAGATGGGCAGGCACTGCTCGTAGATCTCGACGATGTCCGCGTGCATGCTGTCCACGGAGAAGTCCTGGCCACAGCGCAGCTTCTGGTGGATGTGCAGTTTGCTGCTCCTCGAGAACTGTGCGCGGCACCTTCGGCAGTGGAGGTCCTTCGGGGGCGAGCTGGTGGGGTCCCTTTCGATCGACTTGACGGGGGTGGAGAGCTCGTGGAGCCGCTGGAACTGCCCCATGATGTTGTTCAGGATCAGGAAGTTCTTGTTGGGCAGCTGCTGGAGGGTTTCGCTGACGTGGTAGGGCACCACGTACAGCTCCTTGGTGGTTTTGCACTGCTGCACTCCGTAGAGATTGACCCGCATGTTTGGCGGGAAGTAGCCGTTGCATTCGCGGAAGTGCTTGAGGTAAGCGGATCGCAGGCTAGCCAACTCAGATTCGCTGGTGGATGGACTGGAAGTGGTGGTCAAACCCTCCTCCTGCTTCAGCTGCAGGGGCAGGGCGAAGAAGGGGGACTCTGCAGACTGACTCTCCGCATCCACCCGAATCCTCTTGACCTGGACCTTAAGCCTGGTGATGCTGCACTCGGCCATGCCGAACTCACTGCTGCAGTTCAGGTAGTTCTCGATCCTCTGCATCAGCATCTCGTAGACCACTCCCACGCACTCGTCCACGTCATAGTAATGGTCCACCTTCAGGGACCCGCTCTGGAAGATCAGCACCTGGTCCATGGCGTTCACATAACAGGCCAGGTTGAACTCCACGGCCACGGTGTTGTTCTGGAACATCCAGCGAAGCAGCTCGGGGATTCCCCGGGCACAGGTCTCCCCCATGAAGTGGTCCAGCTTTTCCTTGGAGCTCTCGTCGCAGAAGAAGAAGGTTTCGATCTGGCGGGCCTCAATTATGTCCAGGACGGCCTGTTGCTGCTTGGTGAGCTGCAGTCCCTGGGAGCCTTCCCCTCCGCGCAGCCAATGCTGGGAGGGCGGCTCGTCTGCGTCGATGGAGCTGTAGCAGGTGGGACACTCGTGCAACTGGCCCTGGGCAAACCACTGGTGGTGGAAGGTCTGCGTCGTCTCTTCATTTGTGAACACAAAGTTGGAGATCGGCTCGTCGTCGAACATGATTACGATAAGGTGGTTCTGATTTTCGAAACTTAAGGTAGATTAATGGTTGAAAAAGATCTTGAACTGAGTTTTTCGATATCAAGGAATGATATTAGATTGTTCTTCGCAATGGTTTCAGAAATACTGAGATGTGTCTAGGACAATATTCAGTTGCTGACTGATATCATCCTCTTTGTAATAGAATCTTATATACAAAATAAGCCAAAGAGGGTAACAGGTAGTCGGCGCTTTTACCTGTCTCAGGTATTTCTTTCGGTATAACATCTGCACATGGGATTTTCCCTTCACCTAGTCCCTAATCTATTTAAGGGTCTTTAAGGTGTGCTAATTTTAGGGACAGCAGCTGTGGGATTATAAAGTTAATTTTGCTTTATTAAATCAAATAGGAGTTAACTTTACTCCTTGTGGTTGAAATTGTTCAATGCTCTTTAGGTACTTATTTTATTACCTTTTTTTATGTACTTTTCGAAAACAGACACTATCCAGAATGTACGTTAATTCAGCTAATCAGTATAAAAGGCTGATACAATATATATTATAAATTGACCCTAAATAAATTATATTTTGCATAAAAATTAAGGGATTTATGTTATTTTTTTTTGAGTTACTGAGCGTTTTTCTAAAAAGTTAGCCTACAATTTTAATGCTTTTTGGGTTTCCCAGCGTTTTTTTAAGATAATTACAGAAGCAAACTTGCAAAATTCGAAAACAGGATAACTAAAAGATGAGGAAATTATGTTTTTGAAATTTAAAGCTTAAAACAATATAAACAAAGTCATTGATTCTAAAATAAAGTTACATCTTACTTAATGGTTTTTGAATATGATTGCTTAAATTTTAAACAAATGAAAAATGGAATTGATTAAAATTATTTTATAGTCAAGGCAGCATCGGAATACATTTCCCCCAGGGACAAGCTCAAGTGTCACAACACGTAAGTCAACACGTGGAAATTGGATTATTAGGGCGGCGCGTGTGTACACATGGCACAATGGCAGACGAGGAATCCGGCAAATTGGACTGCAAGTACTTCAGGACGACGACCAATGTCGATTGGGTAACCAACGAGGCACAAAACAAGCATTCTAGGAATGCGGGGTCATTTAAAATTCAGCACGAAGCAAGAAGTCCAGGACGAAGCGTCCTAGGAATGCGCTTTAAGCAGCATCCATAATTCAGTCGGCAACTGAATTATCGTCACAGGTCCTTGGATTTGTGCCATGGATTGATATGGATCGATTCCAATGTGTTATAGCTTGTTTAAATAGTGTTTTATATTCCATTTCAAATCTCTTAAATACATTTTTTATTACATATACTTTTATTTTGACCGTCCTATAAATGAAATAAATAATTTGTTCTGCTTAAAAATATATTTTTAATATTTATAAGCACAGTACTTGCGAAATTGATGTTACTTCTAATTTTTCGTATGTCCATTTGACATTTTATATGAAAAATTGTTCCTTTTTTACTAAGGTATTTCCTTGGAAAATGTAGTCTTAGTATTATGTGGTTTGTCTTCCTATTAAAAACTGAAGTTGTTTTTGTGTGGGCATTCAGAACCATGTACAACTCATAAAAAACACCCAAAGCGAGTTTCGGCTAGACATTGCTTATTGTTTTGATTGCCCAGACCGCAATCGCAAGGACAGCCAGTGCGGAATATGGGCAAAAATCCAGAGCCTTTAAGCTTTAACTTTAAACCCATTTCCCAAAGACCAGAGACTGTCAGATCGCATATCGAAAATCGATTTTTCTTTCTCGGCTATGTTCTGGTTATAAATTACAAAGCGAAATGACATGTCGTCCCTCGTCAAAATCGCCGACGCTTAATAAATCGTGTGGCCATTTTTTGCACTCCATGTGGAACTCATTATAGCCGTCACGCCCTAATCCCAAAGCGTTGTAATAATAATTCAAATACGGCGGCACATTAGTTCCGCCGTTTTGAGCAGCCAGTGTACAATAAGCGAGGAGCCAACAGGTTGTGACAAGTGGATTTGGCCGAAAACGGAGGCTTGTACAATTTGTAGACACTTCATAAATGACGGAGAAGTTATTAAATGGGTGTTTCAATCGTAATGTGGCACTTGAAAAAAAAAGGGTTCTAGCTTTAATTTTATAACCATAAATATATTTATAAATATCTTAGCTCACCATCAATGTTTAACAAATAGTGTTATTAACCTAGCGGTATTACAAAAGTTTTTAATACCATTTTATTGCTTTCAAGACAGATTTATTTTTAAGTGCACTAGGGAATGATTGATAGACCACTGCGGGAAGGAGAAGGAAGGCCTACTCAGAATCGGAAGACATGCGCCCATAAAACGTTTTCGGCAAAATGTTCATCAAGTAGCCATACAATAAATAATAGAACAGTCAGAAACATTTGATGGAGAACCATAAAAATGCAGCTCACCCAAAAAAAAGCAAGAAATACTACACAGCTCATTCAAATTGTAGCCATGTACACATAAGGAGCAGACAAAAGACATAAAGTAAATGAAGCGCCTCACGAAATGCAGACTTTGGATGAGTAGTGGCAACACCCATACGATGTGACGAGTATTTTCATTCTATTTCCATTTGCACATTCTCGTAACTCAGTTGCCGTTCAAAGGCAAAGGCAGGGCCACGAAGAAATCGAAATCAATTGTAACACACAATGAAAACAGTTTTCCTACACAATAAATGCTTACCGCACACATTGGGATATTCGCAGCATTGTGCACTCGAAATAATTCATTTCAAAACGTTGGATAAATTTTGAAAATATATAAGAAGTTTACATGTTTCATATTTTAAGAATTGGGAAGTAAATGAATTGAATTATGATTGCCTAATAACAAAAAATCTAAAAGTCTTTATAATTTTCCTAATCTTAAAGAACCCCTTTTATACGATAAGAGTCCAGTATAATTATTAAATCAAAAATGTTTGTTTAACTACTAAACTACAAGATTCAATTAATTTCCAACCGGTTCTATAGATATGTAAGTTCGTAAGTATGTCTAAGACCTTGCAGTTCATCTGTTTAAATTAATTAAATTCGATTTTATAATATAAGTAAATATTATTACCAAATTAAAAAAGAGGAAAGAAAAATAACTAAATTATAAAATTTGTTTCAATTTGTGACTGCTAGGATAGACATTTTTTTAAGTGTTTGCACCAAAAGTAAGAGTCACACAAAGCAGCTCTTGCTTTAATATAAAAATAATCATTTAAGCAAGATGCTAGGACCCAATCTTCCAGGTTATTTTGACTGACAGCAGTGGAACAATGGACGGTTGGAGGAGTGAATCGCATGTGAATCGAATCGAATGACTGACTGACAAGATGTCAGGATAAGGTTTAACATCAATCGCGTCTTGCCAGACTTTGGCAGTGCTTAACCTTGAGATGTTCGAATTCAAAATGGTTATTTTGTCTGGATTTAGGTAGTGTGTGTCATGACAATTGTGCAGGATTTTGTGTTTCAATAAGTGTATATTTTTAATAAACAAGCTTTACGCTTACTGATTAGAAGATCATTCATTCAGCCTTAAGTCTTTAGTTTAAGCTGCTTTGTAGATTGACAATCCATAATTACTGATTGGTATAAAAACTGTCAGTTACCTTAAAAATAAGATTTCAATATCTACATATTCCTAAAAAAAAAAAAAACGATAGATTTCAAAATAAAATTTTGAAAATGATTCAATATTGATTCCTAGTAGAGCTGGATCACAAAAAAGGAGACAAACATTAATTTTTTATTTTTGGTATCTCCGTGTTATTAATTATATTTTGAGTTTCTCCTTACCAATTTAAGTGATACATGATTTAGTTTACAACTATAATGTCAAACTTTAATTTTGCAGAATATATAAATGAGAATATTGCGAGCTAGAACTTGACAAACTTTGAAAATGTGTAATTTTTAAACAATTTAGTGACTAAGGCGTCCATTGATATTGTAAAAACTCGAAAAAATATAACAAAAAACAGACACATGTACAATTTTAAGATTACCGTCCAAAGGAACCCGACAATATATATTTGCACAAAATCCATTGTTTAATATTTTATTATCATTTATATTTGTTATAGCTTTGCAGTGCTAGACCGGTAACAGCTTTGCGCCTGAAATTTGAATGTCAGTATTTACCAACGTAATGAGGTTCATGTTATTCCCTTGGACAGTGTTACCATCATCCTTCTTGGAGCATTTTGTCTGTAAACTAGTGAACTTTAAGCTTGGACAATATTTTTTGTAATAATACAGTCAACGCATGCATAGCATAGATTACATTCTTCAAATAAATAAGAGCTGGTTGTAAAAAGAGCACATTTTTCATACTTCACAAAAGCCAAATGGACAATACCTCCATTCGACCATCGGGTTTTTTCAGCTTCATTTTTATGAATTCAGATTGGGTGCAGTGACGCACATCAACGAATGGGATAGAGAAAGGCAGTCAGGCGAGTGTGCCCAATTTTAATACCCGTATGAATGAAAATTTCGAAAATAAAATCCGAAGGCTACGGAGCAAAAAAACCATAACAGGCAATCAAAGGGCAGAGATGAAAATTAATTTTGCCAGGCCTTAGCTATGATTAAGCCAAGGATTACAACGAACGTGTGTACGTATGCAAAAGGAAATGTCTGCAAGAAGGGATTCGCAAATACAAGGCAACAAACAAATGCCAAATTGACGACTCGTCAAATGGATGTTATTAGCATAAATTGCTTTATAATGCCAAAGATTGTTCGCCAAAAGCATTTTAATCCGCATACGATTATCACATGCTTGTACATTTGATTTTCCACGGTCTGGCAGTCATACTTCAGCCCATCTCGGCTCAGACAGGACCCCTAAGTGATTTGTTTATTCAAGAGGAATTGATTGCAACGAAAACCGAGGCAGACAAAGACAAAGGCAGCCAGCTGTGGCCCGAGCATCCGATTCGGAATCAGAATGAGCACCGAAAACTCAGACAGACACGGAGGTTGTATAAATTCCATACATCCATTGGACGAACTCCCACTCGCCCGAGAGCACAAGTGTAAATTTACCATTTTTATCGTTTAAGTGTCGCGTCATTATAATTCAGTCGAACATATATGGCACTCGAGCCATTCGAATTGTTTATGGTAGACACATTAAAAGTTTGTTCCAAGAAAGGCAGCACCACATGTTTGCTTTAGAAATATATCACCCAAAGGCAATCAAGATAAAATAACATAAAAAGCAAATAAAGAACTTGATATTGCTACGAAGAAAATTTAAAAATTGCATACACTTTTTGTAGGGTGCTCTACTATAGATTGCACATTACATATTAGTTTAAAAAATTCAAGAACGTTATTTGGAATGAATTTACTATTGTCCATTCGAATGTTATAAAAATAAAATATAACTTAGGCAACAAAGAGTATATACCCCCTGTAATTGTAAGTGTATTTATTTCGTTCGAATGAAGTTTATTTCGATATCAAATATTTATAGACCTGTACAGACTAGGTAATAACTCAGAAAATGCCAAGTCTTTAAGTTGTAATGAACGTATGTTTATGGAACACAATGGAATTCAAAGGTCAGTTCAGCACTTTGTTAGCCACTAAAATCAGATTCAATTGTCGTTAGGAAATCATAAGTAAGTCGTGTGCACTTACCCCACATATTGCCCTTTAGAATCGGGCACTGATGATATATAACACTTCCCTTGGGGTTTACCCAAACTAGCATGGAACCCTTCCGAGGTTTTACTTTTAGCTGACGAGATGGAAAAACTATTTCTCCGCCTTTTTCAGCATCGCTCAACTAAAGTATTTTGGGGGAATATAATAAAATATGTTCTTAATAAATAAATAACATCCTTACAAATATCAAAGTGTTTGCTTTGTTGGGAGTCGTGTATTTGGCAGTGTCATCGGGATTGTAATTTCCAGCAATACCATAATTGATGACTTCTAGCATTTGATTTCCCTTCCGTGGAAATCCTGTAATATCTATTATCAGACCATTAATTTTGCGAGCAATATCATGTGAAGAACTGGATAGATTTCCAATTTTGCAACTGCAATTCCATGATAGGTGTTCGTTACGTTGAAGTTTTGGTCTGGACGCGTTCTTTAATATTTCTATATCCTTTTTACCGAGGAACCCATGAAAAATACTTATATGGGTTTCCATTGACAACTCCTCCATTTTTAAGGGTGCCAATTGTAGGAACGGCGTCCAATCAACATAACGACAAACAAGATTCGTGTTTGCTTTGCTATAACGTTTTGAGCATATTTCCTTTTGAAGCTGATGATCTTTCTTGGGCTTCGTAAGTTTGATGGGACTCGCTTGCAAATATTGAAGTTTCGGCAGTTGCTTCAGCATATAACTGTGATTGGGAAAAATTGAAAGCAAGTCTTTCGCAAATTTCTTGGCTTCCAAGTAGCGCCCTATAATCAGAAAAACGATATACAAAATAGAATAGAATGTGGTAAAGCATCATCATCATCATCATGGTTAGCATCTTATTCTTAACAGATCTATTAACTATTTGCTCACCAAGTCCCTTGTTGGCCTCCACCAGAGATTCCAACAAGTTGGAATGTTCCCAAAGCTTAATTTTTAGGTCTTCCCGATTGGGATGGTCCTCGTAGTAATAGAGAGCCAATTGCAACCAATTTTCCGATTCATTGTAATGTTTTAAGTATTGATACATTAGACCAAGTATAAGACACTCATCAATACTCCATTTCTTGACTCTAAAGAATTTAAAATATTGTGATCGTTTAGGATGTAGGATATTTTGTATTCTTACTTGTAATCTTTGCCGTCTAATATTCCTTCTGCCATGTCATAGGAGTCTAAATTATATACAGTTTGGAGTCTATAGATAGCACCCAAAGATTCCTCAAAGTCCACAGAAGTTGGTTGCTGCATCAATAAGTCTTGAGAAATCAAAATTTCTTTGGACCCCAGTTCTTTTTTTAAGATGTTAATGTATTGGGGCCAATCCGTGTACATGTGCCTCAAAACTTTAAGTCCAAACAGAAAGTTATGCGCCGGTGTTCTCAGCAGATCTTCTAAAAATTTTATGGCTCTGCAATTAAAAAAAAAATTCGATTTATAAACTCTTTTTGATTCTTGTTACTTACAGCTTAATTTTTTTTAAGTGCGTCTTTAACACTTCGTTATAATTCTGTAGATTTTTAACTTGTGTTTCTTTCAACTTCAACAATGACAATTGAGATTCTGATGATATTGCAAAGTCATAAGATTCGGGCGCGGATAAAACCAGGCCCTTAGCTTGCAAGCCAACGCCAGCAGCTAAAACTATGAAGAGAAGCAACATTTTAACCATGACAATTACTTATTCAAACTGTTCTACCAATTTCAGAAAAACCAAACACTTTAAATATGAAGTAAGAAAGCTTAATTCGAAACGCTTCATGGTACATTTTGCATTTACTGAAATATATTACTTCCTTAAAGACTATACAAAATACTTTTTAAAATTGTTCCTTTAAGAACTTATTTAAAGTATTAACACTATATTCAGGCAATGGCTTTATCTTTAATGGACAAGGCCGAATAAACATTTGGGGATGTTCCCGAAACCATTTGGTGGCAACTGAAAACCATCGAAATAAAATATTAAATACATATTTTTAATGTAAAATGACTTACTCCACTTATCCCCCATCAAAACGGGACAAGATATATGTGCAGCTCTCCAATCGCTGGTTCCATTTAATAAAAGATTGTACCACACCAACAAGGATCCTTTTTGTGTAGGGACTCTTAGGTCCAAGAAGGGAAATACAGTTTCACCACCCAGGTCTACATCGCTTAGCTAAAAAAAAAGTGGGTTAGCAGCTTTACGTGAAATCTCATAAAATCTTACATAATACAATGCTGTTATAATGCGGTTGCCGGAGATCCAATATTTCTTACTATCAGTTGATGGTACAGAGTCCTGGTGCTCAGAAAAATGTCCACCAATGCCATAGTTACTAATCTGCAGATCCTCAGACTCCACCACACTTAAACCTGTGACATCCATTACACGTTGGTTCAAATTTTTAATTATCTTATGAGCATTATCTTTTAATCGCATAGATTTGGAAGTGCGAAAATTAGAAAAATCTTCAATCAGTTGATCAGAGGAGGTGTAAATGGTACTGCGCCTCAGGTGCGGATTTGACAGAGCCTTAATCAAAACAATTTCCTCGTTATGGATGAGATTGTGATAAATATTTATAGGTGGATCGAGGTTTAGCTCCTCCACTTTTATAGGTGCCAGCTGAAGAAATGGCGAGGAAAATAGAAGATGGCAACGCAAATATTTCTTAGCGGGATATTCCACGCGACAAGCCGGCTTAAATAGATGTTTACTAATTTTTTCCGGTTTCGGCGGTTCGGGTGTCAAACTCAAGTTTTTCAGCCTAGGAATTTGTTGTTGCCAAAAACTGTGGCTACGGTCGATAGCCAATGCTTGTTCGGCATATTCTAAAGCGGTCTTAAATCGGCCAGAGCTCTGAGCTGCCTTCATTAGCAGCTTTAAAATAAAATCTTCGGACCATCCAAAGATATCAAATTGTTTAGAGTTTGGATCCCTGTGGTATTTTTCCAAAGCCAGCTGGAACCAACGCTCTGCATCCTGGAAGTCCTCGTTCAAATAATATACTGAGCCTATCATGAGGCAATCCACAGCATTGAATTTCTTGCATCTATGACAAAAATTAAATCAATATTAACGTAATTAAAATGCACTATTACTCCCACTCACCTATTTTGTCTTCCTTTTAGCAAACCAACTGACATTTCAGCCGGATCGAGTCTGTAAGTTGATTGAAGGCGATGTATGCCATAAAGAGCCTCGTCATAGTCAATTTTCGTGGGCATTATATGTCGTAAACTTTGTAATTGGGCAATTTCCTTATAACCGTGTTTTTCCTTTAGAAAATTTAACCATTTTCGCCAGTCAACATAAAATTCTCGGGTTTGTTTAAAGGTGGCTATTGTATCGGACGAAGGTTTTGACGTAACGAAATCCTCCAATTGCTTAGTTGCCCTAAAAAGTATTATTTTCAGATAAACGCGAATTCTTTAGGGCTTGCATCTTACAGTTTGACTTGGGCTAACCGCTTAGTTAAGACTGTTGCATAGTTTCTTAGGATCCTAGTCGCCTCTTCCCTCAGACTCAACAATGGCAACATGTGAGCCTGGGATAAGGCATACCCATGCGCAACTCTTGATAGTTCTACTTGTTTCTCGGTGCTTAAGGCAACTCCATACAGTAAATATATAAGAACACAAGCCCGAAACATGGCAATAGCAAATTTTAACTGATATTAAAGAAACTAAAAAAATACGTCTTTTAAATAACCTTGTCTAATGCTATTAGTTATGCTTGCTATATAGTTAAAAATGTTTTTTTTTCCAAACAATAATAATAATAATACAGTATTTTAATTTTAATTTCTTAACAAACTTTACATTTTAATAGTTTCTCCCTCCTCAACTGAAAATAATAAATTAAAGGCGCCTTCTACTTGCCCTAAATAAATCCACTATACCCTATTGTCAACAAAGTTGCCCTGCTAAATGCATTTGTTATGCTCTTAATACGAAATGTAGGAGTTTGATGGGTTATGTCCTTCATGGTACATTTTGCATTTACTGAAATATATTACTTCCTTAAAGACTATACAAAATCTTTTTTTAAAATTGTTTCTTTAAAAACTTTTTTAAAGTATTACTACTATATTCAGGCAATGGCTTTATCTTTAATGGACAAGGCCGAATAAACATTTGGGGATGTTCCCGAAACCATTTGGTGGCAACTGAAAACCATCGAAATAAAATATTAAATATATAATTTAAATGTAAAATTACTTACTCCACTTATCCCCCATCAAAATGGGACAAGATATATGGTCAACTCTCCAATCGCTGGTTCCATTTAATAAAAGATTGTACCACACCAACAAGGATCCTTTTTGTGTAGGGACTCTTAGGTCCAAGAAGGGAAATACAGTTTCACCACCCAGCTCTACATCGCTTAGCTAAAAAAAAAGTGTGTTAGCAGCTTTACGTTAAATCTCATAAAACCTTACATAAAACAATGCTGTAATAATGCGGTTGCCGGAGACACAAAATTCCTTACTATAAGTTGATGGTACAGCGTCCTGGTGCTCAGAAAAATGTCCACCAATGCCATAGTTACTAATCTGCAGATCCTCAGACTCCACCACACTTAAGCCTGTGGCGTCCATTACACGTTGACTTAAATTTTTCACTAACTTATGAGCATTATCTTTTAAACGCATAGATTTGGAAGTGCGAATGTTAGAAAAATCTTCAATCAGTTCACCAGAGGAGGTGTAAGTTGTAGTGCGCCTCAGGTGCGGGTTTGACAGAGCCTTAATCAAAACAATTTCCTCGTTATGGATGAGATTGTGATAAATATTTATAGGTGGATCGAGGTTTAGCTCCTCTACTTTTATAGGTGCCAACTGAAGAAACGGCGACGAAAATAGAAGATGGCAACGCAAATATTTCTTAGCTGGATATTCCATGCGACAAGCCGGCTTAAATAGATATTTAATGATTTGTTCCGGTTTCGGAGGTTCGGGTGTCAAACTCAAGTTTTTCAGCCTAGGAATTTGTTGTTGCCAAAAACTGTGGCTACGGTCGATAGCCAACGCTTGTTCGGCATATTCCAAAGCGGCCTTAAATCGGCCAGAGCTCTGAGCTGCCTTCATTAGCAGCTTTAAAATAAAATCTTCGGACCATCCAAAGATATCAAATTGTTTAGAGTTTGGATCCCTGTGGTATTTTTCCAAAGCCAGCTGGAACCAACGCTCTGCATCCTGGAAGTCCTCGTTCAAATAATATACTGAGCCTATCATGAGGCAATCCACAGCATTGAATTTCTTGCATCTATGACAAAAATTAAATCAATATTAACGTAATTAAAATGCACTATTACTCCCACTCACCTATTTTGTCTTCCTTTTAGCAAACCAACTGACATTTCAGCCGGATCGAGTCTGTAAGTTGATTGAAGGCGATGTATGCCATAAAGAGCCTCGTCATAGTCAATTTTCGTGGGCATTATATGTCGTAAACTTTGTAATTGGGCAATTTCCTTATAACCGTGTTTTTCCTTTAGAAAATTTAACCATTTTCGCCAGTCAACATAAAATTCTCGGGTTTGTTTAAAGGTGGCTATTGTATCGGACGAAGGTTTTGACGTAACGAAATCCTCCAATTGCTTAGTTGCCCTAAAAAGTATTATTTTCAGATAAACGCGAATTCTTTAGGGCTTGCATCTTACAGTTTGACTTGGGCTAACCGCTTAGTTAAGACTGTTGCATAGTTTCTTAGGATCCTAGTCGCCTCTTCCCTCAGACTCAACAATGGCAACATGTGAGCCTGGGATAAGGCATACCCATGCGCAACTCTTGATAGTTCTACTTGTTTCTCGGTGCTTAAGGCAACTCCATACAGTAAACATATAAGAACACAAGCCCGAAACATGGCAATAGCAAATTTTAACTGATATTAAAGAAACTAAAAAAATACATCTTTTAAATGACCATGTCTGAGTCTAAAGCTATTAGTTATGCTTGATATTTAGTTAAGATAAAAATGTTTTTTTTTCTAAACAATAATAATAATAATGCAATATTTTAATTTTTAATTACTTAATAAACTTTAAATTTTAATAGTTTCTCCCTCCTCAACTGAAATAATGGGATTATAGAAAAATAAAGGCGTCTTCTACTTGCCCTAAATAAATCCACTATACCCTATTGTCAATAAAGTTTCCCTGCTAAATGCATTTGTTATGGTCTCAATACGAAATTTATGGGTTTGATGGGTTTAAAAACAAAGTTAGTTATTTATTTCCCGCCAATAAAAGAAAACATGTCCTTAATACTATTAATATGCTTAAATTTACTTGCTATTCCAGGAGGACACTTTGAAATGTCGACTGATCCAGCCAAGTCCATAGTTGGAATGAAAGGTCTTGTGGATATGGAGGGTTTCTTCATCAGTGAATTAACAAACTACGCAAAAGCTCTAAAGGACAAAATAGATACTATAGAAAGGTTGGTGGGGTCAGCTGTGAATGAATTTTACTTTAGTGAGGTATATTTTTAGTTTCCTTCAAGACGTACAATCAAAACGAGATATTTCTAGGAGAAACCCAAAAGAGTTCGTTGCTCATCCACTTAACGCATTTTCCCTTATTCGACGAATGCATGAGGATTGGACCCACATGGAGCTATATATGTCGGAAGAAGTAGGTATAAGCTACCTTCAAGCCATTAAAAATGGTTTAGACGAAGCGCAACCCACCGATAAGGATTTACGTGATGCAATCGGTGGAATCATCTCGCTGCATCGATTCTATAATCTACAGCCAGTTGACATAGCCAAAGGACTGCTAATGGGGAAACAATACAAGTGAGTTATGAATTTTTAAAATAATATAATGCAACAATTTAACCTTTTTTATTGGTTTATTTTTCTTAAATTCTTTACTTTACAGTGCCCATTTAACTACACTGAATTGCCAGACACTAGCTCTTGCCTGTCTCAACTCTAATTTTGACAGGGATGCTTTGAACTGGTACAAAACTGCTGTAGAACAGTACGATAAAGATCGGGATGGCCATGTATACAGCGAAGTATTTGAGTTCAAGCTGCGTGACTTGTACATAAATTATACATCAACTTTGGTAGTCAAAGGTATGTCCGTTTAATCGATTTTAATATTTTTTCACGTACTTAATTTACTTCTAAAAAGGTTTCCGAAAAGCCGCGCTCGATATTCTTCGGAATGTATCTGATTTAGATGCCTCCCTCTGGTTACTTCAGAAAGATGTCTATGAAATAGGTAAAATAGATGTGCCAGATCCCACGGTAAGATGAATAATTTTTGGTAAATCTATAAAAATAAATTAAAGACGTTTTCTATGCTAGTTTATCGTAGAGCGGTGGATCGATCATTATGGTTGCCAAGGATTCAGAAAGACAAAAAAATATTTCAGTTGTCACTATGAACGAGAGACGTCAGATTTTCTTAGGATTGCCCCACTCAAAGTCGAGATCCTAAGCTTAGATCCTCATATAGTAATCTATCATGATGTAATCTACGACAAAGAAATCTCGAGGGTTAAAAATATCTCTCTCCATTCGCTGAAGAGTCCACCGCAATACCTACATGGTGACGACTATAACCTCAAGTTTTCTAAGGTCCCCGAGGAGCAGGAAAGTCCTCTAAACCGACGGATTAGAGACATGACAGGAGAGAACGTGATGGAGGACACAGATTTTATGATAAACAATTTTGGTATCTGTGGGTTTAGAGGTTATCATACAGACAACCTTGAAGTGCAGGATCAAACGGTACCAACTTAAGAACTTCAGAATTATATATTATTATTATTATTATTATTATCTTGCAGGCAGAACTAGGCGATCGCCTTACAAGCATTATATTTTTTGTAAGTATAAAGAGTATATAAAATGTAAGGTTACATTGGATAGATATGTTAACACCTGAATATTTTAGTTAAGCGATGTGGTTCAAGGTGGTGCCATCTCTTTTCCGAATTTACATCTGTCAGTTTGGCCACAAAAGGGCAGCGCATTGGTTTGGCCAAATCTAGATCAGAGCATGCATCCTAACGAAGATCTTTTGCACCTTTCATGTCCGGTTATAGTGGGCTCTAAATGGAGTAAGATGTCACACTATTAAATAGGTGCATTTATTAATACAAATTTATTTTTTAGCTCTCGTAAAGTGGTTGCATGAGAAACCTCAAATGTTTTTCAAACCGTGTAAAAAAGAGTTTAAGGAGTTCAATATATAAATGCCATACCTAAAGCATGTAAATATAAGCGTTAAATAAATAATTTCAACAACAATTTTCGCTTTGTTATCCAGTTTTTGTATTACAATTATTTAAAAGCGGTCAAACAATGCTGAATGTTTCGGGCTTCATTATTCTGCTTATACTAGTTCAGCCCTATTTTTCAATGGAACCGGATGAGGATGAGGAACGTTATAATAAGGATTATTACAGTTCCTCAGTTCAGGGACTAGTTAGGCTCTTACAAGTGGAGCAAGAGTTTATGGAGAATTTCACGATCTATGCTAATGTCTTACAGGAGAAAGTTGACAACCTAAACATGTAAGTTCTTTTTTCACAGAAAGAAAATTTAATTTCCTATGCACTTAAATTCTCAGCTACCTAGATAGTATGAAGCGTCCCAATCATTATACTCACAATGAGAGGGAAAAGTATGTTTCCAATCCTCTCAATGCCTTTGGACTAATCAGAAGACTTAATCAAGATTGGCCGAAATGGCAAAACTATACTCAGAAACCTCTGGGCCTTGAACAACTAAATGCTATGCAAAATATCTTAAGTATAGCCCCAGAGTCCTTCGACATGAACGAAACACTAAAAGCTATGCATCGCATTGAGACAACCTATGATCTCCAACCAAAAGATATATCAAAGGGACTGCTTCAAAGCCAACAATTCAAGTAAGTCTTAAGGAGTACAAAAAAACAATAAATGTTTAAATTTATGAAGATTATATTTTTTAAAAGCTCTAAGCTTGAGTCAAGAGACTGTTTGGCATTGGCACACCATACATTTGAAATTGAAGATTTTCATCGATCACTTTTATGGTTTCAAGAAGCTTTAAATGTAAACACAGATCCGAGTCAGGAGATCATTGATGAATTACTGGGAATTACATTTAAGGACTTGGCCTTGTCCATATCTACGCGCAGTAAGCAAACTTTATTATTAACGAAAAATATTATCACTTTAAAATTATTATTAAAAATGATTAAGAATAATATTCGATATTTTATGCAGGCATATATATGTCAAATCAATCGTTAAGTAACGAATCCATCCGTGAATTAGTAAGCAGCCAATTGCAAGACGCTAAGCCTAAAGATTTGGAAGACTTTATTATCTCAAAACTAAAACAATGGGATAAAGAAAGTTTTACTGGCACCAATGCCTCGAGAACACTCGAAAGTGACCATAGTATTGGATGTCAAGGATTTTTTCCCAAGTCGACCAATCTCTTCTGCCTTTACAACTCCACCACAAATCCTTTTTTAAAGCTAGCTCCCCTTAAAATGGAAGAAGTAAGTCGGGATCCCTACATTGTAATGTATCACGAAGTGTTATCCGACAAGGAAATCGAGGAAATGAAGGGAGAGATTGGGGAAATGGGCAATGGATGGACAGGGGTAGACGATCCTAAGGAAATTGTGGCCCGCGTCTTTTGGTCGACGGAAGATTCTCCATTCAGGGATCGAATCAATCAACGCATTTCTGACATGACGGGCTTCAAGCTGCAGGAGTTTGCTGCCTTACAATTCGCCAATTTTGGAGTGGGTGGATACTTCAAGCCGCATCACGACTATTTTACAGAGCGTTTAAGAAAAATTGATGTCAACAATACTCTGGGCGATCGAATTGCAAGCCTTATCTTTTATGTATGTGCTAAAGTTAATTTCTTAAAGTATCGTTGTTTAATTTAGTTTATGTTCTTGACAGGCAGGAGAAGTTTCGCAAGGTGGACAAACAGTATTTCCAGATATTAAGGTTGTGGTGGAGCCCAAAAAGGGAAATGCTCTGTTTTGGTTCAATGATTTCGATGATTCATCGCCAGATCAGCGATCTCTGCATTCTGTGTGTCCTGTTATAGTCGGTTCCAGATGGAGTGGGTATTATGAGAAAATAGGTTGAGCCCCGAATCTAATTATATAATTTCAGCGATTACAAAATGGATACACTACGACCCGCAAATATTTGTGAAGCCCTGCAGACAAAGGCTTTTCAAATGAAGTTCTTAAACCGTGACGTGTTGTCGTAAAATAAAGTTTGATTTTAAGAAGTGTATAGAATTCATTAGGGACGCTATATCCCTGTAGAATTTAAAATTTCTGACTGTTTTTATCATCCAAGCCAGTTAAAATGAAAAGCTTTCACAGTTCGCTTATATTTTTTTTACTTTTTTGGAGACAAATTACTGCCCACACTACCAAAAATATTATTAACGATGACAGCAGCCATTTATATAACTCTTCAGTCACGGGACTTTTGAAACTATTGGAAATGGAGCAGAACTTTATAGAGACTATGAAGGCATACACTAATAAAATGGCCGAGAAAGTTAAAAACCTGCAAGCGTAAGAGATTTTATGTAAAGAAGGTACCCTTTGTAAAGCCAGGTCTATCGCCCACAGATTTATCGACTCGACTGATTATAGAGTCAAGGAAAGTTTAGAAGATCGTGAGAAATATGTCGCTAATCCATTAAATGCTTTTAGTCTTATGAGACGGACACATCAAGATTTACCGAAATGGCACAACTACTCACAGCAGTATGTGGGAATGGGTAAGAATATTATTCATGAACTAGCAGAAAAGTATTTTCTTCTTTTCTTTTTTTTACCTATATATACGCATACGGATTTTTCTCAAACTCAAACAAATAATATATCATTTCAAGAGGAACTGTATGCCTTAGAAGAAATCTTAGCGAAGGCGCCGGATGAAAAGGACATGGAGTACTTCTTGCGAGAAATGCATCGGCTAGAGAAGATTTACGATTTGGAGGCCACGGACTTAGCAAGAGGTCGTCTGCAGAATAAACAATACGAGTAAGTACAGCCAAAAACTTTTCAAAACTCCACAATATGTTAATATTATTTTGCAGCATTAAGCTAACCCTAAGGGACTGTGTCGTTTTGGGTGAGCACAAGTTGCAAGAGGGAGACTACAAACGAGCTTCTATGTGGTTTCGAATGGCCATAAAGCACGAACCCGAGGAGAATGCCGAGATAGTTAATAATATTCTAGGAGATCCAAGGGACAGATTGAATAAGCAGTACGCTGGCTCAATGATCATATATGGTAAGTCTTTAGTACCAGTTATATCCCATTTATCTTTTTTCATTCAACATCCAGGCATTATTAAGTCAAATCCTTCGCTGACTTTCCAAGAGGCTAAAGAAATATCCCACGAAGCACTGAACACATCTAGCCTAGAAGATATGAAGTATCTTATAAACGAGTTGCTGAACCAAACTGATAACGAAATTATTCGGGAAATGAACGTAAATAGGACAGCTCCAACAGACTATGAATTGGGATGCCGTGACCGGTACTCCAAGCGGAGTAATCTAGTTTGCAGTTACAATTTTAACCAAACTGAATTTCTACGTATAGCACCTTTGAAGCAGGAGGTGATAAATGTAGATCCACACATTAAAATTTACCACAAAGTTCTTAGTGATGACGAGATCGCAAAGCTCAAGCAGGACTCGGAAATCAATCCCATTAAGAAAAGCATCCTTCAACGGGTAACAGATATGACAGGAAACATGTTTCCACTAACAGATGACCTAAAAGTATCCGATCATGTCCCAAGTTCTTATGATAAGCCCCTTCATAAATTCGTAGAAGCTAACCAAACGGGAACATTAATATTTTTTGTAAGTACCTATTTTATACAATAACTGAAATGGTACCTAAGAGTAATATTTACCTTTCCTATTCAAAAACAGCTTGATAATGTGGAACAAGGTGGTGCGACGGTGTTTCCAAAACTAAAAGTATCCATCTTTCCCCAGAAGGGAAGCTGTTTGTTTTGGTATAGTGAAAGCCCAGATCCTCGCATTGAAGCTTTGGAATGTCCAGTCCTTCAAGGAAATAAATGGGGTAACTGCAAAAATAGAGTTACTTGTATAATACAATTATGTAATGTATTTTTCTTTAATTTTAGTTATTACAAAGCAGATGCATACCAAAATAAAGGATTTTGGACTTAAACAATAGATAAACTATAAACAAAGTTTTTTCAACGATCTAATAAGTATATATTTAAGTACAAATTGGTTAAACAAGTTTTTAACAACAAATATATCATATCAAATCAATTATGACCTTAAAAAATCTGGTTAGCTCAACAAAGAATTACAACTGTTTCTCCGAATTGAAACTATCTTTAGTCAAAATGAGACCATGTGTCAGCTTACTTACATTTCTCCTGTGCTCAGTACCAATTGCTGTAGAGGGTGACGAGGATAAACTCTTCGATGAAAGAAACGAACGTTACAGTTCCTCTACTGTGGGACTTTTAAAATTACTGAAAGTGGAACAACAGTTCACCGATACCCTCATCAAATACGCAGTGCAACTAGGAGAAAAAAGCCAATCGCTTCATTCGTAATTCAATTAGTTATAGATGGTTTATATAGTTGGTCAAACAAAATCTGTTTTTAGGTACTTGTCTGAAGGTGGCCATCAGTCGAACCGCAGCCCCAAAGAGAAAGAGGAATTTATTTCCAATCCCTTAAACGCGTTTTCCCTTATAAGACGGACAAGCGAGGATTTGCCTAAATGGTACACCTACTTTAAAGATTCAATTAAAAATGGTGAGTTCTAGGTTTTGAAGTGCCAAAAAATTCATTAACTACAAATAGAAATACAGTAATTCGTTACTCTATACTAATAATAAACAGAGGACCTGAGTGTGCTGGATGATCTAGTTAAAAAGGTGCCAAATAAGGTGGATCTAGATTCAGCCATACAGGGAATCCAACGTATAGAAAGAGTATATGACTTAAAAATTGATGACATGGCACAAGGGGTTCTACATGACAAGCAGTACAAGTAAGTTCAAAGCCCATTAAATTATAACACTTTAAGTAAAATCCTTCCTTTAGTTCTCGACTTTCCTATCGCGACCTCATAGCTATGGGAAATATGATGTACCAACAAGGCGACTATAAAGCATCTGCCAAATGGTATCGTATTGCTTGCAAACGCGAACTGGATGATCTCGATATATTATTAAATGAGGTTCTAGGAAATCCATCCGAACACCTCCACCGGCAATACATAAAATCCCTATATATACATGGTAATGCATTTCTAATAACTCAATACCCATTTAAATTTACTTAATTTGTTTATAATTTAGCCAGTACTATATCAGAACCTTTAAAGTCTGCTGAAGAAGCCTTTATAACTGCTGAGAACGCTATGGCAGACACCGGTCAAGAAGATGTGGACAATTTAATGTTTAATTTGAATGACCGGGAAAACGATCTTGTAATAAAGATTCAATTGTATCAGACAAAAAAGCGTCCCTCCAATTTCGAAATCGGATGTCGAGGACTTTATCGCAGAAAACGAAACCTTGTGTGTCGCTACAATTTCACCACTACCGCGTTCCTGCGATTGGCCCCTCTGAAATTTGAGGAAATCAACTTGGATCCCTATATCGCCATGTATCACGATGTCCTTTACGATTCAGAAATTGAGGAACTTAAAGGGCAATCCATAAACATGGGTAATGGTTATGCGGACAAGAGAAACGGTACGGAAATCAGAGATACAGTGGCCCGACATGCCTGGTGGTCTGATACATCTTCAGTGCGAGAGCGCATCAATCAGCGCATTATCGATATGACGGGATTCAATTTCTCAAAAACAGAGGAGATACAGGTCGCGAACTATGGATTGGGCACATATTTCAAACCGCACTTCGACTACACCTCCGATGGATTTGAAACTCCAGATGCTACTGCATTGGGCGATCGTTTGGCTAGCATTATTTTTTATGTGAGCTTACACTATTTGTTCAATGTAACATTTATAAATGGTTTCCATTTTGCAGGCTAGCGATGTTCCTCAGGGCGGAGCCACTGTTTTCCCAGATATAAAAGTATCGGTCCTCCCACGAAAGGGCAGCAGTTTGTTCTGGTTTAATTTGTTTGATGATGGAAGGCCTGATGAAAGAAGTAAACACTCTGTGTGTCCTGTAATTAATGGAGATAGATGGAGTAAATATACAGTGAACTTACGTACTGCATCTAAGAATCTTTATTTTTCAGCTCTCACGAAATGGGTCCATTTGTTTCCTCAAATGTTTATATTGCCATGCCAACCATAAGTAATAACCCTTATTAAATTTGTAAAATAAAACCAATAAGAAATATAAAAAAATAAATTGCCTGCCTTTTTAAAGAAAATAATACTATAGTTTGATGTCTCACTATCAGACTCTGATAAGTATTATAAAATGTAAGTTTCAGAGATATAATCCTCCAGATTATGTAAGCAATAACATTAATGAAATATTTTAATCACCACGCTTGAGACAAATATTAAAGTTATTCTTAAAATTTATAAATAGTCATGCAATTTGAGGTAGTACAAAAATAAATAGTTAATATTGCCTACTTCTTCTTTATTCCGATTTTTTTGAGGAACAAGAATTGCAACAACCATTACTAATATACCATGATATTCCTATTTTATTTGACAAAAAATAGAAAAATATCACATCAGTTCACATAAGCTAAGATGAAGTGGTTCGTTTTTCAGATCAGCCTTTTATTTATTTATTTTCCTCAAAACTTTTGCTCAAAAGAAACGGAAAACGCGGGAGAAAAAATGATATATAGTACTTCTGTGGTGAGCATGGTGAAACTGTTAGAAATGGAAGAGTCTTTGAAAGCTAGCTTGGAAGTTTACGTTCAAGAAATGCAGTCAAAGTTGGATATAATTAAACTGTAAGTCCTAACAAAATGGTAGTTTGATTTATTCCTTAATTAGCACAGATAGGGTAATCAAATTAAATTTTAAAATTGTTAAAATATGTTGAAAACATTATAAATTTATGCCCTAAGTTTTCAACACTGATATTTGTAGATTTCAAGAGTCATTAAAAAGGGAAACGCTGACCACGCTGGACGAGAGGGAAGAGTATATGGCCAATCCATTGAATGCCTTTCCTTTGCTCAGACGCCTCAATCAAGATTGGCCCAAATGGCTGAGATATATAAAACTGGCAATAGCTACCAAGAAAACCAAAGAAATTGAAATGCAATTGAAGTCAGCTCCAAATGATGATGACCTTGAAGTTGCCCTTAAGGGTATGGCGCGAATTGAAAAATTTTACAATCAACACGCAGACGACTTAACCAAGGGTTTTCTAATGGGAAGAAAATTTAAGTGGGTCAAAATTTCAAAGTTTTGTATGAAATTAAGAAAAATGTAAGATAGTTTTTTCCACATAGCTCCCAATTGACTGCTCCCGATTGTGTTGCCCTAGGAGATTTCTACTATAATACAACCAAATACTCGAGATCCACCCACTGGTATCGCATGGCATTAAGACTGCACACCCTTCCCCAAGGAATGGTATACGAAAAAGTTCTGGGTTTGAAACGGAAAAAAATATACAAAAAATACGGCAAGACCTTGCTTAAAGAATGTAAGTTCTGTTCAAGGGTTTAAATTCTCAACTCTATATTTGCAACTTATTGTAGCCGTAGCCTCGGATAAAGCAAAGGCCACTCCGGCGGAGTTATCTGAATGGAATAGCTTGGCCAAAGAGGTGGCAAAGGAAGACAATTATGATAACGTCAAACAACTAATTGATGAATACCTATCATTAGACGAGAAGATCTTCCAAGATGAAGCCGCAAAACTAAGGCGCAAGTCATCTAGACTAGAACGCGGCTGCCGAGGAGAGTGGCCTAAGAAATTCTCGCCAGAACTAATATGTCGCTATAACAGAGATACGTCCGCTTTCCTCAAGTTAGCACCACTTAAAATGGAATTTTTAAATATGCAACCTTTGGTAGTTATGTACCATGACGTGCTCTACGAAAGCGAGTTTAAATCATTGAGAGACCTAGCCATATTTAATGCCAGCATGACTGATGGTTGGACCTATGTCGACTTTGACAAAAAAGGAAAGCCAAAGCCCCAGGATCGAGTGGTGAAAATGATTACCTTTCAAGGCACAACCCCCTCTGCTACGCTGAGCATTAATAGACGGATTGTAGATATGAGTGGTCTGGAGATGCAAGAGAACATGGCTCTGTTCCTGATCAATTACGGTCTGGGTAGTCATTTCGGTAAGCATGTGGATTATGTGGAGTTGGCCCAAAGACCTGTAAGTGGATTTCGCAAGTGTTTTTTAAAATACATAAGTTAAATATCTCTTCTTTTCTACAGCCAGATTTTTTAACCGACCTTAGAGGTGATAGGATAGCTACAGCATTACTCTATGTAAGTGTGTTTGTCAATTGTATGTCTTCATATTTAACATGTAAACTATTTACAAAATGTGGATTTATCCCATTTGTTATAATTTAAAAGGTTTTATGGCTGTGAAAGCCGAAATTGTTAGTTACCACTTGGAAACACAAAATAACTAAATAAAGCCTCAACCAATATTATTTTCTTAGCTTAAAATATGATAGTTTATCTTAGACCAAAAGATATTTATTTTGTTCATTAAGGCAACTGATGTTCCATTGGGCGGAACTACTGTTTTTACAAAACTAAAGATATCCGTAGAACCCAAAAAGGGCAACGCATTGATCTGGTTCAATTTAAATAATGCTGGAGATCCTGATCCGCTGACAGAGCATTCCGTGTGTCCAGTCGTAATGGGTTCCATATGGAGTGAGTAACACATATAGATTTGTGATGAAAAATATTAGATAATTGATTTCTCTCCACAGCAATATCGAAATGGATACACAAACGTCAGCAAGTATTTAAGAAGCCCTGTTTTGCCTAATATGCGAATGTAAAATTCTATTAAAGCCTCCATTAGCGAAGGCATGTAAATAAATGGGGAAGTATCTCCCATTGGCGCACTTTGCTCCTTCGGTCTGGTGTCCCTTTCATTGTTTGCCATAAAAATTGCAAGTGCCACTAAATTCAGAGCTAGTATTGGCAGGGGAGCCTCCAAAGAGGGGTTCAGCTTATGTGCTCGCCCCAAATACCATTTTGCGGAAGTGCACACTTCTATAATGGAAAGAGGGCAACTGCAGCAGTCAAGCAGGGCACGAAGGACAATAGCCGGGCCGACGTACTTAAGCCAACTTTGTCTGCGCTGCATCCAGGAGTCAGATAAAGGGTGCAACCATGTGATTTAAGGGGGCAACTAACAGTTTCATGAATATTTTAGAACATGGATGCAGAAGATCGCTGACCTAGATGAAGTAGAAAGTTGAAATTATTATTTTTTAGGTTTTAATAAACCGGATTAGGATATACAAAGCTTACGAAAAACCAATTTATATATTTCCACATAAACAACAAACATCCAGAGATTTAATCGAAAATTGTTGGATCACAAATTGTTAGAGTTTAACCAAAAATGTGTTATTTTGGAAGTTCAAAATTTTAATATATTTATTTTTACCACCTCAGGGTATGCCTTATTTCTGAATCGCATCCCAATTATAAACAATATTTACAATCCAGAAAGGAAACGCAAAAGCTTCAAAACTGTAACACTAATTGGAATGATTTTAGAGTGGCATCATTAAACTGGTCTACTAATACACGGCAAAGTTGATCTGGAACTTTAAATGAGTTTAAAGGCAACAAGGTTTAGTGAGCGACCAAAGCGAAACGAAATCAGCATGAAAGCAATTGTCCAAGTTATTCCAAAGTGCCCACAGGCAAAAGACACTCGCAAACCGAGCAACTGGAGGACAACTGGCAAAATGGAAACTGAGACCGAGACAGAATCCTCTTGCTGTCGCCGTCAACGAAGCCATGGCTGTTTTTGAAACGGGTTAAAGGGGAAGCCTCTGCCGGATGATGGCCTTGCTGAGACAGAAAGGAAGTGCCGGTGATGTTGTTTATGTAGCCATTGAAACGGCGATCCGTAGTCAAGCATTAACAAGTTAACCAACGGCTGCAGTTGTTGACAGAAGCAGGCAAAAGGTCGCTAAGAAACAACGACATAAAAAATTCAACGAGACAATAATTCGTTAACAAGTTTTTCTTAGGACGACAATGTTTGCCATTCAAAAGGAACTAAGAATAATTCCATAGTTACCATTTTTTTCAATGGAAAATTTAAACTAAACTTCTCCCTCTACTCATACAAATGTTTATAACTTCAGATGAAAATATGTCTTACCTCTCCATATCATTACAGCTTGTCTTAAGTGCAGGCAAAAGAATGTCCTTAACTGGCATAAAAGCCACCAACTGCGGGCATTGTACCATTCAAATCGCCGAAGAAGCGAGGTCGATAGCAGCTATGACTAAGCCAGAAGTTCCGGCAATCCACTGCCGTATTGATTTACCATGACCGCCTGTTGAAGCACCAGAATGCGGATGCACAAAAACTGCAAGCAGAAGGTCCAAGAAGAAGCGAATCCATTGAATGGCTTGCCAAGTTGTTGAGAAAACTGCAGCGCAGGGAGCCAGGAGAAGTGTGATGGAAAAAGTAGAGAATAAGTCGAGGCAAATGCAATCTAAAGCGTCGCCACTTACCAGCAGGAGTTAGCCAGAGAATCGCAGGACGAGGAACTAAGGATGACACCACAATGTGTCCAGAGGGACTTGGCTTGGGGCATTGTAAAGCGATTTCGAAATGTGCTGAACTCTTAAGTGATTGAATTGTTATCGGTGACATGAATTTGTCCGCTGATTTGAATGGGGCGATGCTAAGAGAATCAGCGCTGCAATGGAAAGATGGCAGATAAGTTAATGCAAGTTCACAAAATAAGAATGTTATATACTAACCTGATATGAATCAGCATGTTGTGGAAGAGCAGTTCAGCATCTCCGAGATAGCGACGAGAATATATTCAATGGCAAAAATAATAGTTTTAATTTAGCAAATACAATGCTAATAACAATAAGCAACTTCACATTGGAACCTTTTAAAACTAAATTTTTTGTTCTTATATAAAGAAATAGATAGTAAGATAAGATTAGATTTATTTACCTTACATCAACTGCTTTTGTTTGATGTTATTGAAAGTACTATTATTTTGGAACCATCTGTAAGAGTATGCATTTCTATTCCATGCACTTTGCGTCGAGTCACTGCCGCAGTGCCAATCAGCACAGACTTGGCTATAAGGGTTTATGGTGGTCATGTCCGTGCCGCAGTTCCTTCCTGACAGCTTATGTGTGCACTCCATAAATGTCGCGCTGAAAATGAGTGTCCTGGCATGTGGGCCAAGGGCCAAGTCTAATAGTATACTTAAGTATTAAGTGAACTTCCAAGATAAAACCTTCATTCGAAAAACTATTGTATTCGGACATTAGTATTAACATTCACTTATACATTAAATAATGTAAAAAAAGTTAACATGAACTTGAGTCTCAAACTCTTAATTATAGATCCCCATCGTTGGGCAGGTCTGCATCTTCAATTTTGCGTATTGTTTCCCAGCTGATAGGCGACTTCTTAACCATTTCGATTGGGGCCATGCAATATGGACAGGAACGGATGTCCATGAGGAAAAACTCCTAATATTTGTACAGGAAAACAAAAATTACTTATAAGAAAATTATACAAGTTCAAAGATATGTTGTTAAAACAACAGATTCCTAAAAACTTTGAAAACCATAAAAATTTGCAAGGATCCCTAATAGGTTATCCTTTTTTAGGCATGGTATACATATATTTTACATTTATAATTTAATAAGTTTTACTTCTAAATACAAAACGCTTAAAAACACTATTACCATTTGCTAAGACCTATTTGAGAAGATTAAAAATAAAAGTACCTATAGGTACTATAGGATTATAATCACTTATTAACATTACCCCTATATTATTATATTATCAGCAATGGATTTTATTACATGGAAGACCCATTTTACAGGACCCATCTTTTTTGAATTGGCTATTGTTACCCTTCTTCCGCTACCTTATAAGAAAAACCTTTGGGTTGCTATCCAAGGAATGATAACTAATGGGCCATATAATAAGTGCTATCTGAGGTATTCCCTACTTACATGGGGATGTTTCTCGCAAACCTCAGCGATGCGACCATAGAAGTAATGATGACATCGATCGCATTCGTAGGCGGTTTGCGAACGCATGCAAATGCAAAGCTTGGTGCTCTTGTAATCCTCAGGCAGTTCGTACTTAAGCTTCGGCTCCTCCACCATCTGGATCTGAGTGTTAACCTCTTGGTCGGAGCTAGAATTGCTGTGCAGACCACTCTCAAACTCCAAATACTCCTGTTGATCGGCCTCCAATTCGGCAGGCGACAATGACTCGAAGGCTTTCGGGAATGTCTTAAATGTTTTCGGCACCGTTTTGGTGGTAACATCTTTCAAAGATGGGGAAGTGAGGTTCCCATAGCGATTTTGGAGCCGAGCGGCTATGGAACCTGCATCGGTCCCCTTATTGGCTGAAAGAAATACCGTTTTAACCAACCTTACCTCGAAATAAAGCTCATAGTTACCGAATGGCATCGTTTTCACTAATACGCACAAAAACAAGTATCAAATGACTGAACAAATATATATTTAAAAGCCTTTTCTATGGAAAGTATCTGTTTATTTGAAAGTTAGAGAATTTTCCTGCAACTTGAACCGGCAAAAATGTTTGACGACGCCAGCTTTGATTAACGGCGTTTGGCAGTGTTGTGAAACGAGATAAGTCAAAACAAAAACATATCGATATATTTGTTTTACCCTCGTAGAAAGTTAATTTTAGTTCAAAATTTCCTATTAAATAAAATATAAATATTTATTTATTTATTATATTTGGAAAGGACACAATCTACCAAAGATCGGAAAGGTATTCGAATATAAAATTGTTCGATTTAAAAAAAATCGGGCAACTATACCACAGGGAATATATACCTATAGGAAAATATTTGTAACTTCTTTATTTAAAAGACATGGTTTTACTGTAAGGGCATATAGATGATGGTATTCTATTCTCAATTTTTTGTTTGTTTATATTATGCAGTAGAAACCATTATAGGTGATATATTTGCAAGTTTAAACAGAGTTTAATCACAATTATGTTAATTTACTTGTAACATTTACATATGTAGTGCTTATGTATTTGAGTAAATATGGCAATATATTCGTCAACGAACATCGTTTTTTCTATTTTTTGTAATATCTTCTAACGATTGCCCTCGGGTACTTGCAAGTAATTTGAGTGGGCACCGCAGAAAGCGCAATGACGGGCGTCCATAAGAAAAGTCACCTGCGCAGCAGACAAATGTATTATTTACCGCTTGTTTTCTAGTTTCTACTCACTTCGGGATGTTTTGGGCAGCGTTGCGAAATGCGACCCACAAAAGATTGGTTGCAGCGATTGCAGACAATCACATTCTCGCGCTTCCTCTCGCAAATGCAATGTTTCGTAACCGGTTCGGCTCCAAACTTGTAGTTGGGGCAATCATATGATTTATGGAACTCCATTTTCTTTCCGCGATCTTTAAACTTTTTCTTTCTGGTTCAGTGCTGTAAAGTACCCGAATTTCTATCGAATTGGAATCGATTAAGTATATTCGATTATATTAGCGATAGAATCTTCATAAAAGCGCTTTTCCACAGAGTGCATCCGTGTAAAACACTTGGGACCTCTGACAAATGTGAAACTTCGATTCACACCGAGAGCATCCACCATCCGATAACAGCTGACAGCAGTTGCTTATCACATTATAAGCAAAGAGGCATAAAATACTATAGGACTTTTAAAGCATTTTCCAAAACAAGTCTGCATATAAATTACTGACTGGGAGAGTGCCTAACCTGGAAATTGTAAGTAAACCACTGTATAATTGCTCCTAATCGGAGGACATCCTAAACTTTTATTAATATTAGTTATTATTTAGTTATGCTCTGAGACTTCTCAAAGCAAAATAAAGTCACGGAACGGGTTAAATTGTGGTCCAATCCGTGTGGTTTGCGATTTATTTACCGCCAACAACAAACTAAAAATAGTTTTATATTAGCCCAAATCACATGACAGTATGGTAATTTTAATATTAGACTGGCAGAAGCGTTGTTAGAGCCCACATTATATTTACATGCAAAAATAAATACCCTGGTAAGGTGAAAGTTCACAATTTTGTCATTACCCAGGTCAAGATAAAAGGTTAAAATGATGTTATTTTTCGGTTTTATATATTTTCCATTTTGTCTTTTATTTGATTCCAGTAAATTAGTTTAAATTTCATTGTTAAGGTTGCTCCACGATGCAGTCGTTAAGGTAAATATGGGCGAATTCCACTGGCTTTTACTTCTGCTGTGGTGGACAAAGCTTATTTCAATGTCGCAGTGGGATTTGGTTATTTTATAAGCGCTTAAAGGAGTGAGTAGCGAATAGAATTTTAGAGTACCCAAAAATGTATCACTGGATAAAATTGTTTTATTAAGTTTTGACCAAAGTGCGCGTCAATTGTTAGGTTTCTTGGCTCATTTAATCTAAACTTTCGACTAACTACAGATATTGAAGGTGGTTTTATGCCGGCTGTTGAAACGGAATAAGGAGTCCTTCTCTGATTGGCCACCAATTGTTGCCCATTTTGAATTTCAAGGACAGTATCTTGGGATTTACGAATACAGAAGTGATCAGCTCCGAACTCAGGATGTCGCAGGATAACTTGGAAGCCGCTGTGGCCGGCATGACCTCCAGATTGTCTGATATCCTGTCGGATTTGTGCATTTGCATAGAGGGTAAGCAGCCGCCCAAAGTTCAAGAGGAGACCCTGGCCCGTGCTACCAAGTGTGTAACTTCTGGTACATTTGGCCATCCCATATCCCTAACTGAGCACGAGTGTGTCCAAAAGACCATGAAAATCCTGTGGGCCAGGGGTCAAGTGGATGGCAAAGATACGGCGGAGCACTTCTACGGGCTCTACAAGAAGCTGTTGCAAATGAAGCTTGATCCCTATGGGAGGCACTCCCTGATGAGCAATCTGCTCTCGATGGCCGACAAGCAGACTGCGAATGGAGGAGAAGCCTGCCTCTCCGCTCGATCGGATAATCTCAGTCTGGCCTTGGGCAGTCTTACATCCTCCAGCACGACCCTCAACTTAGGGGCTGGCACCCTTAATGGCAATGGTTTGTCCGAGGAGGGAGCAGTAGGCTATAGCTACGATCCAAAACAATCCGGCTTCGGATTGGGCAAACAGACCTTGCCCAACTACATGGACAACTTGGTGGAGCTCGAGGTCAGCGATGAAATAGTGGTAAATGCTATCTACTCCTTCACCGGCGTCCAGGGGAAATACCTGAAAAAGGACGTAGTCACAGGATATTTTAAGCTTGATCCGCTGAACATGGAGACGTTGACCACGGGTCAGGCGGGCATGTTGCTCCGACTCTCCATAATGGGCTATTACCACGATCGCGTGGCCATGTTTGCAGACGTGTCCACTGGCTTTAACGCATTGGGATGCATGGGCCAGGCCCTGATATCCAAGCTCAAGGAGGAGCTGGGGGACTTCCATGGCCAGGTGTCCATGCTCCACGACGAAATGAACCGCTATCGGAAGGCCCAAATGAATGGGAAAGCGGACTGCGGAGGCGAGCCGGGTGGTGCGGAGGAATTGACCCTATTCAAGCTGCTCGCCTGGCACGTAAAGCCTCTGCGCCGGCTGATGTGGCTCGCCAATATAGCCAACAAGTGTAAGATGCAAAAGGGTGGCGAATTGGCATCGACCCTGTACAGTTTACTGGACAACGGGGACTCGAAAGTCAATAAACTAGTTGAAGACATCCTTACCGCAGTCTGTGGCCCAATGGTGCGCATGATCTCCAAGTGGATGCTGGAGGGCGGCATTAACGATATACACAACGAGTTCTTTGTGGAGTCCCTCCAAGAGGTGGGTGCCGATCGGCTCTGGCACGATAAATTCCGCTTACGTCGGCCCATGCTGCCCAAGTTTGTGTCGATAGATCTGGCCAAGAAGATTCTGAAGACAGGCAAATGCATCAACTTTCTGAGGGAAATCTGCGAGGTGGAGGGACTAATGAAGGGACGCGACGAACTCAAGGCTATCATGGACAACAATGTTGCCCACTTCTTTTCGTACGTGCCGGACACTAAGTGGCATGCGGCTGTGGAAACGTGCTACCAGCAAACCTCCAAACATGTCCTGGATATTATGGTGGGTCACCACAAGCTTCTGGATCACCTGCAGGCGATGCGCCGCTATATGCTCCTTGGCCAGGGCGACTTTGTCAGCATTCTCATCGAGAATATGAAAGATGAACTTGAACGCAACGGCGCTGATATCTATGCGCACGATCTCTCCTCCATGTTGGATGCCGCTCTGCGCTGCACGAATGCACAGTGCGAAGATCCTGATATACTCAACCACCTGGATATAATAGTGCAACGTCCGTTCGCCGGGGACATCGGCTGGGACATCATCTCGCTGAAGTACGTAGTCCATGGACCACTAGCCACCATGCTGGAGCCCACCATGCCTACGTACAAGTTGCTCTTCAAGCCCCTCTGGCGCATGAAGCACATGGAGTTCGTGCTCTCGATGAAGATCTGGAAGGAGCAGATGGGCAACGCGAAGAGCCTCCGTCCGATGAATGCTGAAATCGGCAAGGCGTCGCACCGCCTGAACCTCTTCACGTCGGAGATAATGCACTTCATTCATCAGATGCAGTACTATGTGCTCTTCGAGGTGATCGAGTGCAACTGGGTGGAGCTGCAGAAGAAGATCCAGCAGGCGAAGACCCTCGACGACATCCTGGATGCCCACGAGAATTTCCTGGAAACCATTAAGGTGGGCTGCTTTGTCGGCGACGAAACTGACGTGGAACACTCGCTGGAGACGGTGTACGAGAACATCATGTGCTTGGAGACCTGGCAGTCGAACTTCTACAAGGTGTGCTTCCAGGAGCTGAATGCCCGCAAAGAGTTGGTCAAAGAGGTGGAGAAATCGGAGACGCAGGGTGTATATGGCCTGACCAACGAGATGATGTTACAGCGCGACCAGGAGGCTAAGATCTTTGCCCAAAAGGTTGAAGCCGCCTTTCACGGCTTGGAAGTAATAGCATCTGCCTACGAAAAGGCCGTGAGCAGTTTCCTTATGACTCTCAACTCCAGCCGCAATCCGAACCTCCAGCTTTTTGGCACACGGCTCGACTTTAACGAGTACTACAAGAAGCGGGACACCAATCTGAGCAAACCGCTTACCTTCGAGCACATGCGCATGAGCAATGTGTTTAGCCTGAACCATAGGAGCTCCACAGGCAGTCGGTTCGTTATCCATGCGTCGACCACAAAGGAATAGCCCTCGGTGTCCTTGATGATGTGATAATCCCAGTGCCTATATCCGAGGCATCAGGCCTCACCATTACATCCAGTTAAACTGCGACTAAATATTTGACATATTCAAGCAAGCTAATCCAACTAATAACTCAGTTACTTTGAAACGAAAAGATCCTGCCATTACATGTATATCTCAAGCATTTCCATCAATCGACTGGCTGCGAGCCAAGAACCTAAGATAACTCAAATATTGTTCGCTTAATTTTTAAAATTTTGAGTTATTGTAATCGAAAGTATTAAATGGAGATTCCTTTGTCGACAGACACACACTGTTTTCCTTTTAAGTACCCTAATGTTTTCATCGAAATAGTTAGAAACCATTTTAAAATGTTCAGATCAAACAGTTTTAAAGCGTAAGCGAGCTTAAAATAAATATAATTAAAACGTGAATAGGAGTACCTAGGTAAAGAAATTTTTTTTTTAGAAAAAAGTGGCTCCTGTGTGTTTTGTTTTTTGAAACTTGTTAATTGTAATTTAAAAGTTAATTTGCGGTAAACATCATAGCGCATCACAGGATTAACTGAAAAATACAACTTTAAAATGTTATAAAATTTCGCTGGAATCGTCGGAGCCTTTTTACCCTCAATTTTTTCGGAACCAAATATATGATCAGCATATCTAGTTATGTTCGTCTGTCCGTTTCAATAGTACTTGTTTTAATAAAACTTTCTATAGCAGATAGTAAAAAAGTGGGATCGGAAAACTATATCGTATAGTTCCCATAGGAATGATCGGCAAAATAATCTAGCTTTGTTGTAATCATATTATTTCTTGAAAATTTTGAATTAAATTGTTAATCAAAAATTAAAAAAAATATGTTGTAGTATTAGTACTAGAGGATTATGAAAATTTTACATTGCTTTTCAAAAAACAATATTTGTTTCATCCTCCCGTAAGTTAACTGGTTGGTGCATCGGCTAGCATAGCCAAGTTCACCACCACGCGCTCACTACAGTTGTCTCTTTCGCGCAGACACTGCATGGAGTGAGAGGCACCGCAAGTTGAAAACCGACATTCTGGACGTTCAGCGTACCGGAGGCTCGTTGGTCTAGAGGTATGATTCTCGCTTCGGGTGCGAGAGGTCCCGGGTTCAATTCCCGGACGAGCCCAAGTGATGTCCGAAATAACTTTTTTTTTCTTTTTTTAAACTAAAGTTGGTTTTATCTTTCCTACGGTTAAAAGTTAACGTTGTCACCCCTCTTTCAGATCATTAAGAAATATTTTCCATTATAAGTGAAATACATTGTAAGTCAATGAGTTTCTAATAAATATTTTGTATCCATATTATTTTGCTCTCTTTAAGGACCCCACAAAAATAAATGATCTTTAAAGCCAACAACTGTTTGGTTTCAGTTCTACTAAATGTGTCATAATATGTATAGAATATAGAAACCCTAAAGCAAAATATAAAACGAAAATACAAAGGAATCTAAGAAAAGTGTAACAAAACTGTAGCTAATCTGCATTACTGAGTTTGCTTCTTGCTTGTTTCATATCCCTGGTTTAATTTTTATATGGTTATAAATGTATAAGCCAAGTGTTTTGTTGATATTATTTTTGTTTTGATTTTAGTACTATGGTTTCGAAATACTTAGAGCAAAATGGGTATCCCCACAAATTGAGTGTTCAGATTACAATTTTCAATAATTTCTTTTTCGATCTCTATTGTTTCAATGTTTTGAGTATGCGAGCTTAAATAATTTCAACCGAGGGAACACCCAGTATAGGATTTTGTTTTTTTTTGAGTTAAGATTACTTAATTCGTAAACGCTGCCGCGGCCTTGTCTGTTTTTTGTGTGTTTATTCGTAATGCTTCTGCTTATGTGTGTTTTATGAGGGATACAGTCGCCTTAATGGATCCCAACTGATTTGCTTATTCGTATTCCAGCACGTTTTTATGGTAGAACAATAAATAACTGAAAGAAGTGAGAAAATAAAATGCATTAATATTGCTTGGTAAATCTAACTAATGGAAGAAATAAATAAGGGACAATTTCTAGAGTGCCAAAAGAAATTTTTAATTCTTGGGGGTCTGTGTCCAAAAAAACTCCATCAGGGAGTCTGGCACCTTGTTAAGTCTTTTTTGGATCGATAAAATGTCGGCTGATTTAACAAAGCCTTGAAAAAGTTCATTTTCTTATTTAAAACATAAGCCAATCCTAAGGATAGACTCGAGAAACTGGCCCTAAGAATTAATATTAAACATAGGATAACAGGTATTTGAAAGTCAAAACTCAGATTTTACAGAAAGACCTACTAAAGTTATAAGAAAACATTATAAAAGATAAATTAAGGAGAAACATAGGTGTGCCTTACCCCTCGCTGTCCAGCACCTGCTTGAGCGATGCCATCGTTATCACATGATCATCGCACTTGACCCACGTGTCCTTCTGGTGCCGGACATACGCCGTATAGTGTCCAGTGTCGATGGTGCCCACGTGATTGACCACGGCGTACAAGGAGAACCGGAAGTCCCCATATGCGTTCTTTTTCTCCGACATAAATGGCGTCATATCGAACTCCACAGGAAATTGAATGAACGAGGAGATCTTGCGATCGATCAAAGCGGAGTGCTCGAAGCGTTTCAAGTGGAAGGAGACCACGCTGGGCAGAGTGCGCAAGCTAAATTGTTTGGTGGACTCCTGGTAGGATTTGCAGGTGGAGCACTTGATTTTGGCCGCCGATCCGAGGTGCTCGGCGCGTGTATACCGCTCCAGGCAGTCGATTAGTGTTTTGGGAGTCACTCCACCATGCGTTGTCGTCTCCCCGAGATCCAGAGAAATGTCCCAAAAGGGATCATAGGTGGTCGACACTCCGTTGCAGGCCTGGCACACCACGTCGCTCTGCAGCATCCCAGTGAAGATCTGATCAATGATGCAATTACACTGTCCATAGCAGTGAGAGCTGCTCGAGCTGCTGGAATTAGTACCGCTTCCCGAACCAGAGCTGTTGCTCTTGCTCTCGTGCTCCGACTTTGCCTTCACACAATGCCGATGCAGCACATCCAGGGTGGCGATGAAGAACTCGTGTGCATCCTGCTGCTCGTAGCCTGCCAGGTGCTTGGCATGGTTCCAGATTAAATGCAGTAACCGGTGCAAGGACAGCGGTGAACGGGAGCCCGAATAAAACTCCTACAATGGAGGAAGCGTTAATTAAATGCCGATAGTTATACAAAAAGCAAAAGCTGTTTACATGTTTTAAGGTAGCTTAGCTTAAATGCATTATTATAGCTGACTTTCTGTGCGTTATAATTTTAATTAAATAACAAAAGTTTGAAATGGGTTATGATTTTTCTATGGCTGAGACCTACATTTGTTCTTCAATTCAGACAAAACTGTTTTAGTTTTTCAAAAAATGTACTTTTTAACTGATTGGTTAGCCATAACATTTGTATAGGAAAAAATCTGCTATTTTTAATGATTGTATAAATTCACCTAGATATCTTTACAAAATATTAAAATAATATCTTAACTACAATTTTTTCCATTCAAAATATTGAAAATGAACGCCAGTCAACTATTTTATCCTTTTTCCCCTTTTAGTAACAAATAATATTAGCTGATTGACTAAGAATAACACCATTTCAACATGCTCTAAGTTTAAAATGACTATTGGAACCCACAATAAGATCATTTTAGCACCGCTTGAACAAGATGATTTATAAGTAAGTATGAATGTTTCACCTGGAAGAGACGCGACACTTCGCAGACGAGACATTTGTGGGAGGACTTGCTGCCACAATCGTGGCGATCTGACATGAAGTAGTCGCTCAGCAGAGGAGTATGAACCAGAGCCTGTATTAGAGTGAATTAGTTCAATTAGTTCGCCAGATTCTTCGACTTAACCCACCTGAACAATGCAGTTCATAAAGCAGGTGGCGCCCAGATTAAGCAGTCCTCTAAGTCCGATGGTTTGGTTGGGCCTCACCAATCGCCTCCTCGCGTTGGCCAACATCAGGTTGGTCTCCTTAGCCGTCGGAATCCACGGCAGCCAACCGATGCTCTTCTGCAGATCCTTGGCCTCCAGCTTCCGATTGATCAGTGCATACTCCCTGCTCCGCGCATCGTAGATGAAATCCCTGCAGGCGTAGCAATAGAGCGTTCCGTGGGACAGCTCCAGAGCCACATTGTGCTTCTTCGATCGCAGGTGGCTCGTGATGTGGGCTCCTCGACACCCAAAGTAGATGCAGTGTAGGCATGCGTACAACTGAATGCCGTAACTGCCGCACTCGAAGCAGTTGCAGTGAATCGCCTGAGGGTGATTAGAAAGGTTACAAAGGTTACTTTGGGATATTCGAGGTCAAGAGCTTTTGTAAATTCTAAAAATCCTCTGCCTTTAAGGGAGGTTTCCCGACCACCAGCTCCAAAAACAAACCATTTTTACAGATTAAAAAAACTTACATTAAACTTTTAAACTAACATTGCGTCAAAAATGTTTTACCTTGGCAATTTCAAAAGTTTTTGACGAAACAAATGCATTTTTATTTTAATTTAGGCGAAGCACTAAATAAGATTGATCTTGAAATAACCAACTTTCTTGATCTTATAGTTTCCAAGGTCATAGCGTTTATACGGACATGGTTAAGTCCAATCGACTAGTCACTAGTGATTCGGATCAAAAATATTTATGAGCATTTTTAAATTAAAAATGAACATATTTAAATTGAAATTTAATAATGAACATAATTAAATTAAAATAAAAATTTTTAAATTGAAATTTAATAATAAACATATTTGAAATTTAATAATGGACATATTTAAAATGAAATTTAATAACTTAATGATGAACATATTTAATTTGGAATGAACCTATTTAAATTGAAATTTAAAAATTATCATTTTTAAAATGAAATTTAATAATGAACATATTTAAAATTGAAAATTTTACTTTAAAAAAGAACACATTTAAATGGAATTTTATAATGAACATATTTAAATTGTAATTTAATAATAAACATATTAAAATTGGACTTTAATAATGAACATAGTTAAATTGAAATTTGAATTTAATAATGAACATATTTAAATTGGAATTTAGCAATAAACATATTTAAATTAAATTAAAACACTTTAAAAATGAAAATATTTAAATTTGGAATTTAATAATGAGCATAATTAAATTTAAATTGGAATTTAATAATGAACATGTTTAAATTTAAATATTTAAAATAGTGTTCAAATATGAACATATTTAAAACGGAGTTCAAATATGACCATATTCAAAATGGAATTTATTCCATTCATATGAGCATACAAATGTAAATTTCGTTGAAATTATTTTTCAAAACATTAACTCTAGTAAATATTTTTCTAGATGTTTCACATAATGGAAATATTTCCTTTTTACTGGTC